CTTTTCCTTGTGCTTGTGCTTGCGTTGAGTTTGAGTCTATTTTCACAATGAAATAAGCACTCTGACTTGTCCTTGCATTTATCTTGCAAAATGTAAATGCAAGTGAGCAAAATGAGATCCCTCCAATGAACAACCACTTCTAACCTCCTCTGTACAGCACTTTTGGTTTCACTATCTTCCACACTTGGTCATCTCCTGTGCAGTCGACATCTCCTACTTTATTCTCACGCAGCAGTTCTGTGTAGGAYGGCATATTATCAAGGTATTCAAACACCTATTTAACAGAACAAAAACATATTTTTTGGATTGTGAAATATTGTGWGGTTGTCCTCAAGTCCTTGCCTCAACACACATACCTTTGCGGCAGAGTTTTCTTCGCCAGCAAGTGACTTAAGAAGCTCTAGGAGGGGTGAGAACTGTAGTGGAAAGCTGTGGAAGTATGGAAGGTGATTAGTTTGTATTTCTTGTTTTGCCATCATTAAAGAAAAAATATTAGAATCAGATAAGATGATTCCTTCTTTACATTTAAGAGAAACAAGTGGAAACTAAAAATTACTTGTTGAATTATAAACAAACTGAACTTACTTGTTACATGCTGACTTCAGTAATAACCCTGCACCTGTGTCAATGCTCTGAGAGAAAATGAAAGAGAGATTATAGGTTAGAGGGTGATCTATCCATCTGTCCATCCATCCACCCACCCACCCATCCATCCATCCATCCATCCACCCATCCAACCCTTCCAAGGTTATGAACGCAAAGTTGTGCAATGCAACTTCCTTCCTTCCCTCCATTCCTCTGTCCCTACATCCCTCCCTCCCTCCCTCCCTCTGTCCCTCCCTCCCTCCATTCCATCCATCCATCCACCCATCCATCTAAATTTGTTTTGCTTGGTTGTACTCACTGTATCCCAGAAGTCAATGCAGAGGCCTCTTTCTGTGAGTGTCTGAGACAGTACAGATACCAACAACTAAAAAAAAAGCAACAACAAAAAACCTTCATCACATGAAAATCTAGTATTATTGTTCTACTCTGCATTATGATTTTTTAATTTGGAGAAATCCAACTTAACTACAGTAAACCTACAAAAAATCATCCCCTTATCATGTGATTCTATTATTCTTCAAATGTTCTTACACCAAAAAAGCAGGATTGGCAAATAAAAACACCAGGGCTTACTTTCAAAAGTTTACAGTATCCCACAGTACCTTCCATTCCAAGTGAGCCCAAGTTCCTTTTATACAGTGTTCAAATTACATCTCATTTTTAGTGCAAAAATATATTAAGCAAATACCACTTTCTATTATACCCTTTACCTTAGTATCACCAAGAGTATCCTCTTGGAACATGGTGAGAACTACAAACAGTAAYCCATAGACAACACTCTTACAGGTGTTAGCTACAGGCTGGGAAAGAAAAACAAAAGAAAATAACTYAGAGAGTAAATTGAAATTCAGGTTCTGCTGAGGGAGGAAAACGAAATCATAGAGAAAAACCTTGAATTAATGAGACCCAATCAACTCTCTTGACATGTGATGTTGAGTCCAGGAATAAAACCTGAGATAGCCGAGGTCAGTACCCTACTACTATAATACCATTCTTGAAGGCTTTTCATGCATAATGTTCGTCAATGAAAGCATGGGCCTTTTGTGAGTTTGATAAACAGGATGCATTGTGGTCTGGCTTGGGTACGAATAACACCATATAAGGTATGATCAACTAAAGATGTTTGTACCCAAGCTAGACCAYGATGCACCATGTTCACTATCTCAGAAAAGGTCTACGAGAACCACAACCTGAGGTCCTCAGACTTACCATTATACCAGAGAATGCCTCGGACTTGAGCAAACCATCAAAAAACTCAAAGACATGACATTGCAAGGCTTTGCTTCCAATCCTTCTGACATCCTGCGCAACGATAAAAATATCCAGTCAAATAAAACTTCTTGAGTTCGTGGCCAAATTTGTTAAGGTTAACACTAACCTGTTCTTGGTCTGTTTCCATGGTAACATATCTAAAGACTGCCCATGCCAACATGACAGGTCCATGCTGAGGAAGGTCTCCCCAGCTGACGAAATATCTGTCTAGCAACTGTTAACAAAACAAAAGGTTATTTATATTTACCTATGAATGTCAGCCAAGTGATAACAAACTTTTCTACAGATAGATAAATATTTAAAAATTGTATATTATTTTAGTAAAAATACATGTACTGCATAATCTCTGTACCTCTACGCCACCTGGCTCTTGGACAAGATGATGCTGTTTAAAGCTAAAACAATTAAATGAAAATAGAAAATTTTATTGCATTTTTCTCCTTAATCAATAATGATAATAATGGGGTTCTTATATAGCGCATTTCACATTGTCTCAATGCACTTTACATTGCAGTGGAGGACTTTACGGGCTGCATATTAAAGGCGCTATTAGCAGCCGTGCCGCTTACAATCATGGGTATGAATTGTTAGTAGATTAGTGTTATRCCTCCAAATTGGGATAGGCTGTTGAGCCGGGAGACAATCCCCTAGTCTTACACGAATAATTCAACAGGTTCTTTTATGTCCCCCATTTACTGTAGGTTAGGAAGGGTTGGGAGACAGGGCCTACGGTTTTAAGTCCTTGTCCGAGAAGACTTAAAGGTCTTACCATTTGSAGATGTAATTACAAAGGCAGCACATTTTCCTCAGTTATTTTAAGACCCTGAGCGTTGGTCTGGCCGAGGTTTGAACCACAACCTCCCGCACAACAGACAAACGCTCTTACCAACTGAGATAACTGGTAAGGTTGTCTTGATCTGAGCAAATCTTTGTGTAASAAAAGATAGTAAACATCATGCACAAAACAACATACTTTCCAGTGTCCATGAAGTTCCTTACRCCTTCCAAGTTCAGTGATTCAATAAGGATAAGCACTTGTAGATAACTAGAAAATTCATAAAAGATTTACACATTGTCAGAATGAAGTGACAATACACAGGCCTAGCTTTATTAACGGCTGGAGATCAGAAAATGCTTAATGGTAAATGAGCAAAATTATCTGGCTTAAAYTACATACCCTTTATAGCTTAGTAATTWGTAAAATGTTAACTACTGTAACTAAAATACTCTCTGGCTAGTTCATGACCTTCTCCTATAATATGGAACTACAATGACATGGTGATGTGCCTTCTCATATTCTCCAACATGGAGGAAACTAACCTTATCTGTGCAATCAGTGGTTCAGCTCTGGCATCCAGTAAATGTCTGTTGAYTTGTTTAGTACCAAATCCTTGTGACTAAAAGACACATTCATGAAAAAATCTTACTAGTCAGACAAGGTKGTTTCTGGATATTCACAGATCAAATTATTAGAATTTAGTGTGTCATATGTAGATCGGGGAAAATCAGATAATCTGTACTAGTTAACTCTTAAATCAAAAGAGAGACCTTGTCTAGCTAATTCTTCTCAATTCTGAGTCTGAAGCCCCGTTTACGCTAGCGATTTTTGCTGCGATTTTGTCCATAATAAATAATGGTAAAGAATTTACTTGTAAAGTTTTTTCAGGATACCAAGATTTTCCTAGACGAATGTCTCTTTGAAGGATGAGACAAAAGATTTCATATTTCCGAAAATTGCCACAAAAATCACAGCAAAAATCGCCAGTGTAAACAGTGCTTGACAGTACAGTAATGAAACCCCAGAGGTCAGAGACGAGTGCGTTACCACTATGTTATTAACCCTTGATTGGTAAAGTCCATGCTATACACCCTACTCATTGTGTACTATTTCTACAGGTACTCACCTGAAAAAGTTTTGCCATTTGAAGTAAAGATTTTGAAGGATGTAAATAYTCTTTGTAATACAGGAAAATTATCTCCAGCAAAAGCACCTAAAAAGTATTTAATGAATGTACTATTTTAAGATAAATTAAGGCATATGAGCAAAAAAACCATAAAACAAACAAAAACAAAAAAACAAACAAAAAAAAAACAAACAAAAAAACAAAAAACAAAACAAAAACAAAAACAAAAAAATCGAACCCTACTACATTTGTACATGTGTACATCATTTAATTAGACTTTCCAACTCTGTTGCCAATAATAACTAAAACTATTACAGTGGGTCAATGTTGGATCTCTGAGGCACTCCAGTTTGAGTCACCACAGCAATCCAATGTTGGTTGATAACAAAAAAAAATTATATGAAACAATTGCATGAACAACATGTACTGCAAGCTAATCAGCTGAATACTATATTATTTAAATCCTGGCTTTCGGCATATAAACACACTGTACCTGCTCTCTTAAATACTGCAGGGCTAATCGACAGTTTCTGTTTCTTTCCTGTAAAGAAATAAGCCATACAATGGTAGCTCTTTATAACTAAACTATAWAAAACCTGAAGGAAATGATTTATGCATTGAAGTACAAAGCAATTTGATTGCTAAATATTAAGTTCAATGATTTTAAAAATATTATAATAGTTCACTTACAAGAAGGTTGTTGTACGTCTGTGAAACTGAAACCTGGCTWGTACTGCACATCTTGTACTGTTCAATAACCTGCCAAATTCAAGATAAAAAATGTCAATTACACTACCTAAWGCAGGGGCTCGAAAAAAAATCAGATTCAAACCCATGACTTTCTGAATACCAGTTGGATGCTCTACCACTKAGCTAATGGGAGACTRYGGTTGGCTCCAGTCTGAGAGTGTTCTACATTCAAACCCCTGAGGACGAACTCAGAGGTTTTTATTAAAAACAACCCAGGATAAAAATAACTGCTGGTCAGTTGTCAGTCATGTTGACTGGCCAAATTRGTTTTAGCTCTGTTATACCTCATTTTTGGCTTAACATTACAAATAACCAATTAGGCAAATATTTGACCAGACAAGTTCCAATTCTGGTCAGGCATCTATGTCCAAATAACTAGAAGGTACTGCYTTTGTTATTTAATCTGCTGTAAGCAAAAGCTGGTTAGTTTTTGAAGTAACTTGAGTGACTCCTTTGTTTATGTATTTTGATTTTAGTTTTAAATAAAACTGATTAATGCATATATACATAGACCTACCTTGTTGATCAAGATATCATTTTCTTGCAACTTTTCAATACATTCTGCAAATTCTTCCTAAGATACAAAATTAATATGAATTGTTTCATTCCACTACGTGCCATGCTTCTCTTAACAGTATTCTCTGCACATAGGATACCGGTAGGCTTTAAGCATACATTTTTTTTTCACTATTGAAACCTACATACTGTATTTGAAAAAAAAAGATATTCATTCGTAAAGGCTATCAAATGTCTCGATTTTTACCCTGAAGGCATGCTGAGGATCCTGCCAGTAACTCAAAAGATATTTAAGACATTGAAGGCTGTGGAGACGTTCTTCAAAGTAATACTCTTGAATCTATTAATAAAATACAAAAAAAAAAATAGTATCTACATACATGTAATCACATGAAAATACAATAAACACTGATACATTGTAATCTCAAGTACAGGACGTTAGTGGGGGAAGTCTACTTTACTAGGAGTGGATAGAAAAGATCTAGATACATGTAGAAACCTGTAAATTAAGGTCCTGTTTAGGGGCTGGTTTGGGTCACACAATTTTGAACTTCTTAAAAGAGGTGGGTAGTATATAAAGCTGTACATTAGGGGTGGGTCATTTTCATTTCCTACATGGAAACTTCAATGGGGGGTCATCATTATTTTTTTCAAACTCTTTTTATGCTGGACCAAAAAAACTACAACAAAGAGCTCCTTCAAATCCAATTCTACCCCCTGACCCCCACACACCACCCCTTTACTTTACACGTATGACCTACCCTTAAAAAGAATGATAGAAAAGCGAGAAATGATATAATGGGTGGAAACGATAGAGAAAAGGAAGGGATACAAAAAGGAGAAGGAAAAAAAGTAAAAAGAGAAGGAAAAAAAGTAAAAAATGGAGGAAACATGGAATAAAAGAGAAAGGCAAGTGTTTAATCACATATTTACACAGCTGCTATAACTGTACCTTGGTTATCAAATTTTCTGTTTGTGTTTCATTTTTGCATATCAACTGGTAAGAATGAAATACAACATAAGTTACAGTACATGCATGGTTGAAACTAATAAGCAGATTATATTGACAGCCTTTAGTCATTTCGAGGTTGAGGGAAAACTGAGTCAAATTGGGAATGTAGTGTATTTTGGGGTTGTTCTAGGGGACTTGTTTCCAAGATGGCGACCATTTTGTCCCTTAAACAGCCCCACAATGCACTCCAATGTCAACTCAACCAATGACCAAAATAATATCATCCATTAAAGACCAAGACATGTGGCTGTTGGTGCCATCCAATCAAAATTTAGTGGGCCCCAATATCATGGACTACAAAAAGGCGTGGTCAAGGATGGGGGGTGGGGCTACACTCCTACTAATTCTTTATTTAAAAGACCAAGGTATGATAATAAAAATAGTAGGTGAATCCAATGGTGACAGTGACCTAGACTGTACTTTGCTAAGCCCTTGATGTTTGATACCTGATTATGAATAGATAAGTGGCTCCCAACAACACACACTAAAACATACTGCTTTGATTCCTGGTTAAGGCCCTCTAAAGAAAGGTAGAAGGATTTTTGTACTCACTTGTAACTGYTGGTTGGAGCCTCTAAATTCATTTTCCAGGTAACTGCCAAATAGTTCCAAAGCCTGCCATTCATCAAGGTTCTGCGATTAAGAAATGTGTCCCGCACTTGGTGAGCTTATTGTATGTTATCATCACAATCACCATCTTCACCTCTCTATCATTATGCCCGTCATCATCATCATCATCACCACTACCACCACCACCACTACCATCATCACTGTCATCATCACCATTATCATCTTCATCTTCATCATCAGATCATCATCATCACTGTCACCATCATCACCACCATCATCATCACATTATCTTACCAGTATCTTGCTGAGATTCTTTACAAGTTCTTTTCGCTTTGGTTTAATTTGAACAGCTTTTTGTAACTTCTCTAATGAACTTGCACTACATAGAARATAGAAACATGATTTATAACCTGCACTCAAATCTGCAAAAAAAGTATATAAGACAGAGTATACGCACCTTGGTACTTTATACCACAAAATGCCTTCAAGAAGTTTCTGTCGATTTTCATTCAACTCCTCTTCAATTTGTTCCTAAAAATCCCCAAAAATGATCATCAAYAATCTGGTGCAGAAGACAGCAACAATCTACATTATTTTATTGTCAATCAAATAAATTATCACAGCATATCATGCACCTGGGGGGAGGGGGAGTGATATCATCAAAAAATTGCTGCCACAAGAGTCTCTCGTTTCTCGGTAYTGACCAAGAGAAACATGAACTCTGGGTACGAGATTGGTGGGGGCATTGAATAATGTTAAATTCCTGTGGGTGCCCCCTCCCATCCAGGGGCAAACTATTCATAGGTGGGTGCATTAAGGAAAGGTACAGCTGTACATGGGAACAACTGGTTTCTTTATCTATAACAATATACTCTTTTTCTTAGTTTAGAAGCAAATTACTTAAGAGCATAAAACCCTTTTAGTCTTACTGGTTCTTGTAATGATGATCTTCCTGTAAGGATATGCCACAAACCTCGACTAGATCTGAAAATAAAATAAAATCAAAAACCCAAAATTTACAATCAGCACATGAAACTTTAGACCAAAAATATCCGACAAAATTTACTAACTTCAAGAAAATCGCTTCTAACTCTCATAAAAGCCATCTACTTACATTGGTATGTCCATATGTATGGATTGTAATTACGTTAGCGATCGGAGTTATGAAGAAAGACACATGAAAATGTTTGTAATTCAGAGACGTCAAGTTTCTCCCACCATTTTGAATTTATGAAGAAAAGGACTAACACAGGGAACCCATGTGGTAAAGGTTGGGATCCCTTTGCTTTTTACTAAAAATACACATATAATTTATTCAAATTTATTCTATTTAGGTCTGTTACCAAGGTCGACCGGAAACCAATGTTTAACGAAAGATTGTTGACAAGGCAGCAGACTGCGATTTGATTGGCTTTTGAGCTGTCAATTTAAAAATGAATTTCTGTCATTTATCACACCCACATATAAAACATTCAAAACCAAGGCATTGAAATGGTTTCTAAGGTTGATTTCTATAACCATTAGAAAGTGATTCGTTTGGATCGAATATTATGGATCACACTGATGATTGCAGTCCTCTGAATGCTGAATCGCCGCTAAAACGAAAAGCAATCAGTGAATGCCGTCTCCAAGACCCAAAAATATGGACTAAAATTTCTTGGTGAGTAAGACTATTTCTGAGGTTATTCTCGAGTCGTTGAAGCTTGAGAATAGATTCTGTGTTGTCGTATCTTTGGCCATTCTTCATTTGCTTTTACTTGACGTTTTTTACAGAAATATTTTTGTTTCTGTTTAGACAAACTACATTTCAGCTATTGAGACACAAAAGTCCCACTAAAGCTGTTGCAAAACGGTTTCGCTAGATCGACATCCCTCTCTCTCTGTCAAGGGCAACACGTGCTTATTCAAAGCTGTCTTGCCTCTACACAAAGACTTTCCTTGCTCAATACTTATTTCATAAGGCTTTGATCATTCTGTCATGTTAACTCAATGAAATAGTCAGCAAGAGTTTCTAAAATTTTGGATTGTACGTCGTTCGTGTGAGCTAGCTTAGGGGCCAGGGGGACTTCACATATTGTTTCATTTGCTGTTGTTTAGTCTTGGTTGGATGATGCCTGAAACCTCAAAAGATGTCGGCATTAAAGCTAAAAATACATATATCTATTTTGTTCACGGCATACAGATAAAAAATATAAAAACGTGAGTCGATTATTTTAGAGAATTGAAGCTTTCTCGCTCTTGTTTTTCTCTGTAAAGCGAGCTAGACTCCTAATACGTCCAACAGTCAACCAAGTCGATGCATGACGTCACATGGTCTTCATTTCCATAGAAACGTGAATCCTAATGATCTTTATCGTTTTCCCTCCCGTTTTCATACACGCTGGTTTTCTCTAGACTTTAAGATAGCACTTTCACCTATTGAATTTGAAATTTTTATCTAAATGCTTGTACAAACATGTCAAATTTTAAAAGTGTTTTGATTGGGTCTTAAAATTTTAATTTTTAATTCAGTTGCTAAGCAACGTATACCAGGTTCAAAAACCTTGGAGTTATTACTGGGGTAGATATTGCTTCAAAACGACGAAGAAGTTTTTTTTAAAATATTATATGCTATTATATTCCTTTAATAGTTTAGCTTCGTTTTGTATATTTTTTAAGCTAATTAATTGAAATCTTTGTTCGCAATTTGCCTATGCAACTCGTCATTTTTGTGCAATCTTTGCCATCGCTTGCCGTTTATATCTCTGATTATATTCCTTATATATATTTTTCAATGCTTTGAATATTTTTCTTTGACATTTTTTGATAGTAATTCTATTTTTTCTGTGCTTAGGATTCGGACACATTTCGTCAAAGACTTGGAATCAGGCGTCCGAAAGACCGACTTTTACGACTATGTCACCGAACACCTTGGCAAAACAGGTTACCGAGATGTATGGCATCTATTAAAGATTGCCTACCCACACGTAGACAGAGTACGAAGAGGTCGTAAGTACATGTATTGGGGTGTACGACACGCCGACGACCATGTTAAGTTCGAAGAGACGGACGATGGAAATAACGGAGAAGATGACGACGAGGAAACAAATGTTGAAAATCATCTTGACCAGGATAAAGAATTCAGCGCTGAAGAGAGTTCGTTTAGAATGGAAGTGGAAAGTTTCTCTGAAGAAAGCAGAGGGAACCAACTGGATGAGTTAAATTATTCGCAGACGCCGCCTGAGAGCAAAACACCATCGACTGAGCATACAAAGTTACCATCTGGTTTACTCGTAAAGGTAGAAAAGGACACCGACAATGACGACCAGAAACAAAGCGATGTTGTGGTTATAGAGTTCAAGGACAAGGAAGTTTTTGCTAGTTTTGAGGATTACGAAAAGTCTAAACAAACGTCTGACCAAAATGGCAACTTGATTAAAATCAGAGGGGAAAAAACTCGAGGGAGAAAAACAGCGAATGAAGGTGACCAGCGAACTGTTGTTAGGTCTGTGTCACCACCGCTGGAAATATTTTCCCTTGAAAGCCTCAAAGATGATGACAAAAACAATAATCATTTATCTAACCCAAAAGATCACCATAACAACGATGAGTTTAAAAGCGACCGCATGGACAACCGACAGGCAACGTCTCTCAAACAGCACGATGGTTGCCATGGAGACAGCGATAATGGTACTGCCGTCTTAAAAGAACCAGAAAACGGGTCTTTGAGTAAAAGCCAAGAAGGGAAACTTCCCATTTTTGGAGACAAGCGACGCGAAGAGATGGCTCCAAATTTACTTCATCCAGAGAACATTAACCGCATGTGCATGCCTTTGATTAAGGACCTCGGGAATAAAAACACAAAAACAAGACCTACAAATGAGAACGACGTTAATGACAGCGTCGCTAACGACCAACTTAATGATATACAAGATGAGAACGCGGCAGGTCTGTCCGCAAATGATACTGACTCAAATAGTAATAACGAAGTGGGAATAAATGGGAAATTTCCTTACCATCCATTAATCGTTTCTGTTACCAGCATTGCAGGAGTAGGTATAGACAGTAAAGGATCAGATAGAGTCAGTTCAGATGAGATAAATAATATTTTGAAAGCGTCGACGCAACTTCAGTCGTGCAAAAGTGTTACCGCTCGATTTGATGTTAATGATGGATCGACAAGACAAACGTCTTCATCTCAATCGTTACCAGATGGAGAAGCTGAGTTTGTCGTTGTGCAAGACCGCGGTATCCAGGTAACTGAACAGGTTCATACCTGCAATCAACTCGGTAAACGAAGCTCTAAGCATATCAAATCTACTATATGTCACAAGCCTTCTCATTCACCCCACCATGAACATACCTCGAAAAAACTTCCATCTTCTAACTCAACCAATGTCCGTAGCTTAAACCCTGGGTGCCCCAAAAACTCTAGTCCAATTGTCGTTAATATAGAGCAAGGAGTACAGAATGTGTCGAGTTTGCAAGGAAGAGCTCGTGCCTGGCATTCGGGACCTCCGTCGCCATCTTCTGTGCTGTTCAATCGCACCAGCCCACGACAACCAGATAGCAACACAGTCCATGGCCAACCGCGACTTTTCACGACTTCCCCACGAGATTCTCGTTCGGTGACTAAAGCCATGGGTAACGTAGTGAGGTCTGAAGAACCTTTGATGAAAGGACTGATGAAAATACCGCCCAAATATCATACTCTTGTCGTAAACAACAACTACCCGGGGCTTTTACAAACTGAAGAAAAGAGATTGTTGCCGAAGACAGTCATCTCGCCCGAAGTCCAAAATACTGTAAATAAGCATCAAGATCGTTTGTCACCGAAATACAGTTCTTCGCAAAGCGTTGTTTATGGTACATCAACTATTGAACATCGGCCGTCATTAACATTATTACGAAGTCAACAGGAAAAACAACTTTTTGATCAGAACTTGAACAAAACGCGAACAACTGGTCAGTTGTCTTCAAATGAACAAAATAACGGAGAATGCTCCGCAGATGAAGGTTCTTTAAGGACTCGAGATTTCCTTCGCAACCTTTTGTCGCATCATGAGAGCAAGAGTAATAATCCAACGACAAATACATCATCTACTAGTGATTTACAAGTTACGGTAGAATGTCTTTCCAGTGAGCTGGAGAAGGAACGAACGATGAGGCTTCGACTTGAGATCGAGTTGCGCAAAGTTGAAAATCAACTCAATGAAGAACGGAAACTGAACGAACGCTTGGCGTCCATGCTGATGAAGCGATAAAAGTATACAATCCATTTTATACCCATGCATAAACCAGGTTCCCTGGCAACGAGCTGCAGACGTGTATAAATATGGACTCCGTCAGACAAGATATCAAAGTGCACGATCCAGTCCCAGTGATGAACCATGGGGTACACCAAACCTGGCACCTGTCTCTCATTCCCTAGTTTAGGGTTTTGCAATGAGGGCCCCAATTTTATACTACTTTACGGCCTACTAGAGGATAATAAAAAGACCGAGTGATGAACCATGGGGTACACCAAATCTGGCACCTCTGTTTCTCATTCCCAGTTTGAATGAGGGTTTAGAAAAAGGCCCCCCGAGACACATTTTATAGCATTAATTTTGGCTCGATAAAAGTCCATGTGATGAACCTTGGGGCACACCCAACTCAACATCCTTCTTTTCCATTACCAGGATTTCTAACTGAAAATTATTTATAAAGTGATTGAAACTAAAATTAAAATTTTAAGAGAAGCTCGCAGAATGTAAAGTACAGTAATTCAGATGACTCTGAATAAACAAATTATTTTTTAAGAGCGTGCCACACTACATTCATCCTCTTGGGAGTCAATTGAGTATTATGGAATCGTTCCCGCTTGGAACGTGTGAAAAGCTCCTGTTCCCATCATTCCTTGAGCATCTCTACCCATTCCTCTACCATCCATCCAGGTTCAACAAACACGTGACTAAAGACTAGATTTCAGTTGTCTTTAGGTATTTTATTGGGCTTGACCTGACCGAACCATCATTGATTTCATAGTTCATCTATAGACCCCTTGCAGCACTTTGGAATGCAGCTCAGTCTGGGGACAAAACAATATATAGGTTTCCAATTCTCAGGAGATTGAAATTCTTTTGTTTTGTCCCCCAGATCGAGCTGCTTGGACGTCATATGCATACGAGGGGTCTATACCAACATACATTGTAAAATTTAACAAAATAAGCTATCTCCCCCGGTATTCATCGTATAAAATAGACATTAATCAGACAGAGGTTTGATCAAGAAGACAGGACTATGGGAATGGAAAGAATGACGTTTGTTGTTCAAGCTTGGTATGTAGTGGAGGAGACGGACCCTCCTTTTCCCGTCCAGTTTGTGTGGATAAAATGGCCTGGGTTGGACAGCAGCTCGTAGGTATGCGCGCCAAAATAATCTCGCTGAGCCTAAAAGGGAAAAAAATAATATCAGAATTGATAGCTTCAAAAGCACTAGGGCATGGAGTTGAAAGGATTGGGTATGCGGTAAAGAATTTGGTTCATATTACACATATGCAAGCATTGCCATTCATTTTATCGCTACGCGTTTATCAAGACAAAAGTCGAGACACGGTTAATCAGCAATTAATGAGTGAAGAAACTAACTGGAAGTGTTAAACTGACCTGGATAAGATTTGCAGGAAGCTGAGCAGATCTAAAGATGCAAAAGAAAAAAATATGAAATTAACTATTTAAAAGGATTTTCGTGGTCACTTTGGGCACTTTCGTCCACCGTTTTTTGTCCTAAGTGAATGAAGTTTACACGGGTTTATTCGACACAGGCCATAAACTGAAAAACAATATATAGCCAAGATCTTGCAATCAGTTTAAACTTCCGAGACATTTTATTAATTTTCAAATTTGTTGGTCATAGTAACGGTAACCAAGGGGAGAGAACCCTTACCTGTAACCATCGTAGAATGCCAATGCGGTGCTGAATGCTGGTGTTGGGATACCAAGGGTGACAGCGGTTGCTACGGTCTTGCGCCAAGAATCCTATTAACATATTAGGAAAAAATGTAAGGAATAGAATAGAACGAGACTTGTGATTGGATAGAATAACGTTTCTCACTCATGTTACGGCATGTCGTCCCGTGTACTTGCTGTAAGTCAGTACCTTACGTTTCGCACTCATACGATAACCATTCTAATGGGAAGCCATTTCAATGTTACGGCATGTCGTAATGTTACAGCATTTCGTACCACATATATGCTCTGTCAGWATGTTTGCCACTCATACGATAACCATTCTAATGGGAAGCCATTTCAATGTTACGGCATGTCATACCGTGTACGTTGTTCAAGTCAATACCGTATGCTTTCAACTTATA